CCATGAGACCCAAGGGCTGTGGAAGCCTGGAAGAGGTGGGATCTTAGGGGGAAGAGCGCAGAAGACCCCAAAGGGAGAGGGCCAGTGTTGAAAGGACTCTGAGGGAAGACGTTAGAGGAGAGGGGTAGAAGCTGAGAGGACACGAGCAGCAGTTGGGAATCGGGGGAACCAGTAGGACCTGGGGATTCTCGTAATTAGAGAGTAGATTTTCTTTTGAAATTTGTTAGCAGAGTCCTCCTTCTGTATGGCCCAGGAGTATTCACCTTTCCATCACGTCAACTCTAATTCCCTCCTTTCTCTCCACACCAGAACCCAAAGTTACCTCAAACCTGCAGCTCTGCCTGTTTCCATTATCAGTGCTCAGCACTCAGCAGGCAGGTGTAGCTGCCCTGGTCAGAGGCCAGGATGTGGTGCAGCTGTAGAGGAGCCCTAGTCTCAGTGCCCTGGGCTTTCTCTGCCTCATCCTGGAAAGCAGGGGCTTGGTCTTCAGGTTCCAAGACACCCCCAAAGCCCCAGTGCTGCAGGACTAGTTCTTGGCCTTGGTCTCACTGCACTAAGAGACTCGGACCCTGTCCTGCATCTGTTTTCAGTCCTAGAGATAGCAAAGTTGGGAGCCTTTGAGCTGAGGATGGAGGAGGTAGGTCCCAGGCTGCGGGAGAAGCAGGGATGGAAGCCGAGTAGAGCGTGCCCCTGAGTCCCTTCTGAGCACCTTCGCCATACATCCCCAGATGGACTTCATGCTTTCCTTGCAGGAACCCCTGGTAACTGTCCTCCAGCCTCACCCTGAAGCCTTCCTGAACCTCAATTTTTCCATCAATTCTAGAAGTAGCATAAAAGAAGAAGGGCTAGGGATCAAGACACAGAGCAAGAGTCCCTTGCTAATGATAACTAGTGAGATAACTAACTAGTGATAACTAACTAGTCCCTCGCTCATGAATACTAGCGAGATCAGGAAGCATTGGTCCATGGGCTATAAGGAAAGGTAGAGGAACCAAGACCGGAGTCTCATCTCCCCGTGCCAGCCTGCTTCTCTCCCTGGGCCCAGGCCTCCATGCTCTAAGGTCCTCAGTGGGGAAATCCTACTCCCTGAAAAGGCCCCTTTTGTTGAAGCTCACTCAGGACCTCATCAGTAATCAATACCCTATGGCTGTGCCCAGGGACCCCAAACTGGTTCTACAGTTCTAGCATACAGCCAAAGGGGGAGAATCCTGGCCACTCCTAGAAGGTTCCAAAGCTCCTTGCAGAAAAGTCAGATGGTTGGCCCTGTCAGGCAGGAGAGAGAGGGCAGGGGCGACAGAAGGGCAGAGACCCAGAGAGAAAAACACAAAGTAGATATGGTGAGAGAGATCTCAAGGCACCGTGAGACAGGTCGAAACCTAGAGATAGATACAGAGAGGGAGAAACACACAGACACACACACACACGAGTTATTGAAGGGGGGTAATTCAAAGAGATAAGAAACTGAGACAAAATCTGAAACAGAGACAGAAATACCTAAAGAGAAATTTCTGGACGCCTACTTGCCCACTGCTGGGATCACTCAGGTACTTCCCTCTTCCACCCTCAATTTCCACCACTCAACAATGACCCATTGATACTTTCCTACTCAATATCGCCATGTCCCTCAAAAACAAGTTTTTCCCCATCCTTACCCCACCTCTCCATCATTCTCTAACTGAACTGATTCCCACTCCCCTCCACCCCAAGGCTGCTCACAGTTCCGCTTCTCTCACCGACTACTTTCAGCTCACGTCTCAATCACGTCTCAAGATCTGGCCTCTTGAAATCTCTTTTCCTGGCCATTCCTCTGTCCTCCTGTTTGCCCACGTCCTTATTCTGGCTGAGCTGAGAGCAAAAAGCCAGAATTGGGACCAAGAAGTCATGGGGCCAGGAAATCAGCTATAGGCAGAATGAACTGTGGGAAAAATGTAGAAAGGCCAGAGGACAATAAAGGAAAAGCCACAGAGACCGCCTGAAGGATGGGACAGCCTGGGAGATGTAGGCAGAGGCAACTGAGAGAGTCTTGAGAGTGTGACTAAGACCCCCCCCTAGGGTCCAATTGTTGGCTTTTTGTGTGTACTGAACAATGCTGTGAACCAGGGATGGTTCCAGGGTCAGAAAATGAGGTTAAGGGGAGGAGAAGTTAGACTAAAATTTTTTTTTGTTTTTTTTGTTTTTTTGCGGTATGCGGGCCTCTCACTGCTGTGGCCTCTCCCATTGCGGAGCACAGGCTCCGGACGCACAGGCTCAGCGGCCATGGCTCACGGGCCCAGCCGCTCCGCCGCACGTGGGATCTTCCCGGACCGGGGCACGAACCCGCGTCCCCTGCATCAGCAGGCAGACTCTCAACCACTGCGCCACCAGGGAAGCCCCTAGACTAAAAGTTTTATGAAGGTTTGAGACAAGGGTGTGTAGATTTGGGGCTGGGACACACATCTAAGACTAAGAAGCTGAGCTTCAGGGATCCTTGCTTGCCAGAAACAGCCAACTGAGGAAACCAAACTCATAGGATCACATCAGGATTCTGAGACTTTCAGAATGATCAGCCCCCACTCCCACTCCTGGACAGAGGTTGTCCCTGTGCCTTTCAGTTTTTTATCATTGACGGGGTCATTATACACCGCTTATGATGCTGCCCTGGGGTGTCAAGTGTTTGTCAGACAAGTACAAATTGGCTTATTTTCTTCCTCTCTTTTCTTCTCCTTCTTCTTCTTCCCCTTCTCCTCCCCCAGTTTCTTTTCTGCCTCCTCCAAAATACGGGCTTACTTCAGACTAAACAGGGGAGGTAGGATTCCTCCCCCAGATCTATGTTTGGAGCAGCAATGGATGGACACCTCTAGCTACTAGGTGGAACTGGAGGAGGTGCAGAACTGGGAGGGGACAGCCAAGGAGCAATGTGAGGTTCAGGCTCCATGTTCAAGTGAGATGACAACTGCTGAGGACTCAGAGTCGGAGTGGCAGCTGGGAGGAGAAGGAAAACAAAGCTGGGAGAGAGGAACTGGAAAGGCCCCTGGGGTGGGGAGTTCCCCGTTCTATCCGGGAGAGGCAGAAAATGAGTCTGGCACGACAGTCAAAGACTTAAGCAAAAGCAAGAGCCTAAAATGGGCATATAGGCCAGTACGGTTAAAGCAAAATGACACCACCCACCAGGCAGCTCCTCGCTGAAATCCTAGGAGTATGACAGATCTGAATCCAGCGGTTGGGAGGTTAGCCAGTCAGAAGATTTAGGGAAAAGGCTGGCTTTCAGATTTCAGCCAAGGATGTTAGAAGTTAGTGATTTTTTTTTTTTTTTTTTTTTACCATGGTCTGGAAAACTGAGGATCCTCTTTGTCAAAATCTGGGAAAGCTATAGTTGGGTGGGCAGAGACTTTCAAAGCTACTACTGGGTCTCGGCTTTAAGGTATAGGTGGGGAACAGGTCCTGGTACCTACCAGTCTCTCTAAATATGCCTTCCTGCCCATACCCTCCTCATGCTATTTTCTCTAAGGACCAAGAGTTAGGATCTGGAATGGGAAGAGCCCTGCCCTGAATTACATGTCCAGCCTCACTGCAGCTCTAGCCACTCTCTATGGCCTCCATTTCTTGGGCCTGATGGGGATCCAGTTGATGAATAGAAACCAAAGGCAAAAGTAAGCAGTCATCACTCTCATTTACAGACCAGCCCTGGGGGACACAAGTCCTGTTTCTGTCCCACCCCAGCTATGCTGGGAGTAGAAATCTGTCTGCATTTTCAGCAGTAGCTAAAACTAGTCAGCTTGGATCTGGGCCTCTTCATTCTTCACTGGGTCTTGAAGGGATAGAGTTAAGAAGAAGCTCAAGGACCTGGCTTGAATAAATAGAAGATACCAGGGAGGGGCAGGCGTTTGTTTTTCTCACTCCTCGCCTGCTTCACCCCCATCCAGCTTCTAAGACTAGGCAGCTTTTGCCCTGGATCTTATCAGGAGAAACTCCCTGACCTTAATTCTGAGTTCCAGATGCCACGGTACCTCAATTTCCTCCTGCTCTATGAGCTTATGAGACAAAAGGAAATAAGGAGTTACTCTTCCTAGGACTCAATAGTGAAAAGTTCTCCAATGCCTAAGGTATTTTCCGTCACCCTCAACCCAATCTCTCTCTCTCTCTCTCTCTCACACACACACTCACACACACACACACACACTCACTCACTCACTCACTCTACAATGTGCCCTGAGAGACTGGGTTCTACTACCCTCTAGTGGCCAGAGAGGAAAGGGCTGTCCCACCCCGTCGATCAAGACCTTCAAGATTTTACCACGGTCTTTGGTCTGGAAGACACCTAAGGGATAAGCCAACAGCACTTTTTTTTTTTTTTTTTTTTGCGGTACGCGGGCCTCTCACTGTTGTGGCCTCTCCCGTTGCGGAACACAGGCTCCGGACACGCAGGCTCAGCGGCCATGGCTCACGGGCCCAGCTGCTCCGCGGCATGTGGGATCTTCCCGGACCGGGGCACGAACCCGTGTCCCCTGCATCGGCAGGCGGACTCTCAACCACTGCGCCACCAGGGAAGCCCCAACAGCACATTTTATAAATGTGGAAAATAATCACTTTGAGAGTCAGGGTATAGTCGGGACCGGAACTCAAGTCTCCTGACTCCCAGGTCAGTGCTTAATCCACTTTCACTGCCTCCCCTCTGACTTTTGTCTCCCCTTCCTAGCTTATCCCTGGGGAGGTCAGAACGAATCAGAAAAACGCCCAAAACGCCAAAGCCAAAAAGGACATGGTTCCTCCTCAACCCTTGCAGAGCAACGCCTGCACCTGAAACGTCATAGTCCCAAGTGAATTCACATCTTGGATAACATGGGTCCTTCTGAGGAACTGGCTGTCCTCAGACTTGCCGAATTTAACAGACTTTCAAGATTTTTATTGACCTCGCACAGCTCCTGTCGCCATGGTGACAACACTAATTCATGGTGGCTACCCAGGTCTCCTGTCTCCACGGTAACCGGTGCTTTGCGACCTTCAGTTTGCAGCGGTCGTGCTGCAGCCGCTGCAGTGGTTGCTGGGCGACGGCGGAGAGAAGCAGGTGGCTTGAGGTGGGGACCCGGACAGGCTTCCGGTAGGGGTGTAGAGGCGGTTCCGGGGAAGCCTGCGCCCCCAGGTAGGGGTGCTCCGGGCCGTCGGCCCCGCAGCCCGCCCCTCCCCGGGCCCATGGCCGGGGCGGTGGGTGGGACAGGGGGCTCAGGCTGGACTTGGCGGCCGGTGGCGCGGGATCCGCTGCTGGCGCGGGCCTTCCATTCATGCACCGAACTGCGGGGACGGTTCTATCTGGTGGGGGGTCTCCTAGCCGGAGGAGCGAGAGAGCCGAGCAGTGATATGGTGGTCTTCGATCCGGCTGAGGGCCAGGCCGTGCGGGTGGGAGCCCGGGGCGGCCCGAGGCGCAGCCACCACGACGCGGCGCTGGTGGGCGGGCGCTGGCTCTGTGTGGTGGGCGGCTGGGATGGGTCGCGCCGCCTGGCCACAGTAAGCGCCCTGGACACCGAGCGCGGTGTGTGGGAGGCGTGGACCGCCGTCCCTGGCAGCTGCCCCCCTGCCGGCCTCAGTAGTCACACCTGTACCCGCCTCTCCGACCGAGAGCTGCGGGTGGCAGGCAGGGAGGGCGGGACTCGCACTCAGCGTCGTTATGGAAGCATCTACACGTTAAGGCTGGACCCTGGCGCCCGCACCTATTGGTATGACACCCCTTGCCCAAAACCTTTCATGCTCCCTCACTTACACTCTGGAAAAACAGCTTCGCAGGCAATTTATCTAATATCCTCACCCTAGAACCCTCCTTCCCCGGGAATCTTCCATGTCTAAGATAGCTGAACTCTTATCAATATTACCCTCCCTCTCAACCGAACTACATTTGGCACTGTCCCATGTCTCCTTTCTATCCTTGGCAAGGGGGTTGGGGAAAAGGCAGTACAGCACTTATATTTTCCAGAAAACCCAACTCAGGCCTGAATTTCACAGCTATAAGGAAGAAGGCTACCACACAGTCTCACGTTCAGGTCACTGCGCTGCCCTGCTCCAAAGTCCTGGGCCCCACCCAGGTCACCAGCTATTGCTCTTTGGGGGCTGCAACTCAGCTGAACCAGAAGTAGCTGGGCACTGGAGTCATGGGAAGATTAAGGTATTATCTACTCACATCTTGCTAAGGGTGGAAGGGGGCTAAAATGGGGATGCCCAAATCCCTCCAGACAGTCCCTTCTCTCTCCCCCAAGGAGGAACCACCTGTTGCCCCCCGTTTGATGGAACAGCTTGCAAGTCTCGTGAGCAGTGGGCAGGGGTCCCGGCAGGGGCCTCGAGGACTCCGGCATCACTCATGTTCTGTGGTTGGGCCCTTTGCTGTGCTGTTTGGTGGAGAAACTCTGACTAGAGCCCGAGACACCATCTGCAATGACCTCTACATCTATGATACCCGTGAGAAGGGGCTTAATGGTTGAGAAGGGGAAAAGGTGGGAAGATAGGAGAACCTGCAGACTACAGAAAGAAAGAGGATGGAGTAATGGCGTAGGGAGAAGGAAGATTTAGTCGACAAATTAAAGGAATACACAGAATGTTAAATTTTGAAGAGGCCCACAAATCCAGTGAGGAGAAAAATAATGAGCAAATATCTGGTCTTGTTAAGAGCCCCATGGGAGCCAAAGCGCTACTGCCTCAATAACCACTCTTTGCCCTTACCCAACAGGAAAGTCTCCTTCTCTGTGGTTCCACTTCCCCTGTGCAGACCATGGGCTAAAACGCGTGGGCCATCGGACCTGCCTTTGGAATGATCAGCTCTACCTGGTTGGGGGTTTTGGTGAGGATGGCAGGACAGCTAGTCCACAGGTTTGCATTCTGGACCTCTTTATCTGAAGAACAGTGCCAAGATACACCACCAAGCCTCTGTTTTTTGTTTGTTTGTTTGTTTTTGTTTTTTTTGCGGTACGCGGGCCTCTCACTGTTGTGGCCTCTCCCGTTGCGGAGCGCAGGCTCAGCGGCCATGGCTCACGGGCCCAGCTGCTCCGCGGCATGTGGGATCTTCCCGGACCGGGGCACGAACCCGTGTCCCCTGCGTCGGCAGGCGGACTCTCAACCACTGCGTCACCAGGGAAGCCCCAAGCCTCTGTTTTGTTGCAGACTCATAAAGCTTTAGTTATCACCAGAGCTATCTGCCTCATTTCAAATGCTGATTAAATTTCAACCTGAGAGTTAACGTTTGTTTCTGAATCTTTTGGCGGGGAGGGAAGTAAATAAGGAGGTGCATCTTTATTTGCAAGGTAAAGGATAAAATATGGGACCTAGTTTGATATTGTGAGCCATTAACCAGATGGACCCAAAACCACAAATCATATGCTTGCCCATGCCCCGTGCAAATTCTACCCCTAATACTGGGTGAAAGCTTCAGGCTAGAGCTAAGCATTCTGAACAAAACGTTTAATTAACAAAAAAAAATTTACAATAGCAGAGAAAATAATAACAATAAAGAGAAATTAGAAGAAGTGGGAATCAGGGTAGAAAAAAATGCAAAGGCCTTGGTCTCTAGGAGACCAACACTCCAGCTGAGCTGGACTTAGCCCCAGCCCCCTCTGAGTTTTCCTTGGCTGCTGGCTTCTCGTCTTCCCCCATGAGACGAATATTGTGCTTTTCCCGGAATTCATTTAGCTCTTTTCCCTTTGCCTGAAGCTGCTGTGTCAGTGTCTCAATGATCTTCTGTATCTAGAGGGCAAACGACAGGGATTATGTAAGGATTTCAGGACTCCCTTCCCCCATCTGTTACAGACTATGGTTGGGGGAAGTGAAGGAGTGATGATACCTCTAACCTCAACTTTAACCAAGTATTAATAGTAGAGCCCAGACACAAAAAGTATTCCTTTCTTAAAAACAAGGTTTATAAGCTGTAGTATACATAAGAATCACCTGGGCTGCTTATTTTTAAAATGCCACTTCATGGCTCCCATCCCCAAAGGTTCTGAATCAGTGGGTACAGGAGAGGGTCCGGGAAGCTGCATTTTAAATTAGTCTTCCAGGTGATTTGGATGCACATAGCCATGGACTACACTGTGAGAAACTCCACTCTAACCACCTCCCCTCCCCCAATTCAGCCAGAAAAGAGGCATAGTCAGCAACTCCTTTGTCTAAGGAGTTAGATGTAGCATAGCTAAAGAGCATAGGCTGATAGGCTATTTATGCTGCCTTCAACACGAGTTCCTACCCACACTTTCCTCCCCCACATTCCCTAAAGCCCTGGCCTCCCTTTCCTTACTCCTCGGTTGCCCAGAGCATCTACGCAGGGATTCTTGCTCACCTGCTCCTTGTTGTTCTCCAAGGCAGGCAGCACCTCTTTGACAGTCCGCTCCACCAGTACCCCTCCAACCATGCGGTAGCACTTGCGGGTCTCATCTACCTCCTTCAGAGTATCGATCACTAGGCTGAGGTAGGAGGACAAGGCAGGATCTGAGAATTCAGTCCCACTCTGCTGCAACCCTCTCTTACAAAACGGCCCATCCCCCCCCCCAAAAAAGGGGGCCCATCCAACTCTCCTGTTGTTTGCTTCTCCCGGCTTCCTCACCTGTGCTCATTCAACTCCATCTCCAGCTCAGCTGCTTTGGATGCCAGGCCCCGCTGTTCCTGCCGAAGGCGGTTGAAGCCAGCGATTACCTAAGAAGGTGAGAAAGAGATAAAGGTGAGAGAGGGGACAGTGGAAATGGCAGAGGGTCAACATAGGATAGCAGGCTTTACAAAGATGCAGTAGTAGACACCTATCTTGGAAAAGGAGTAGAACAGTTTGCAGTTTCTAAATCAAGTCTGGAATTCCATTCACCCAACACTGAGTGCCTACTAGGGGTGAGATACTTGCTAGGCCATCTTGCAGCTTGGTTTGGTGAGGATTAGGCATTTGTTACATAGGAATGGGGGTGGAGAGCTACTGGAGCACCTACAGTGGAGCTTAAACTTGCAGGTAAAGAGGGATGTCAGGAAAGGCTTTGTAACGAGTAACTTTTTTTTTTAAATTTTATTTATTTATTTATTTTTGGCTGTGTTGGGTCTTTGTTGCTGCACGCGGGCTTTCTCTAGTTGCGGTGAGCAGGCGCTACTCTTCGTTGCGGTGCGCGGGCTTCTCGTTGCGCACCGCAACGAAGAGAAGTGGCTTCTCTTGTTGTGGAGCACGGGCTCTAGGCGCGCAGGCTTCAGTAGTTATGGCACATGGGCTTAGGTGCTCCGCGGCATGTGGGATCTTCCCGGACCAGGGCCCGAACCCGTGTCCCTTACATTGGCAGGCGGATTCTTAACCACTGCGCCACCAGGGAAGTCCCATGTAACGAGTAACTCTTGTTTGGGTCCGCCCAGCAGCCCTCCCATTAGGCAAGTGCCCCTCCTAATTCACTGGGGTTCTTGGGAGGCTACTAATCACAGGACCCTTGCTCTTTGACCACAGGGGCAGTGACCTATATTCTATACTATAGAAATTGAATTTTGGGTAGAGACAAACAGGTACAGAAGGCAGCTGGAGCTAAGACACCTATAGTTGTCCTATAAAGATGGTCCTCCATTCCTATTCCTAAAATCCCCAAAGCTGCCCTAGTTATTGAACTCTGTGTGGCCTAGTTGTTTAATGTTCCTTTTCACTGTGTTCAATTCTGTGACCTACCACCGTCCTTCTAAAACACTCTTTTAAAAAAAATAATAAATAAGTTGCTCAAAGCCTGCATCTGTAGCCTCTAAACCCTAACTGATACAGGCTTCCTGAGAGATAATGCCTTAACTGAAGCCTGAAGGATGAGAACCTGGGGGTGGGGGTCGGGGGGTAGTGGTACAAAAGAAGCATAACAACACACATAAAGACCCAAAGAAGTGATTACCACCAGCTTCCTGTTCCCCAGAAACTGAGCAGAGAATTAAACAGTGTGAAAATCAGACAGGGTACTAATACCACCACCAGCATCACTTCTAGTATAGGGCTCTGATGACTGTATTTGGAAAGACAAAAGACCAGGTTTCAAGTTTTGTCTCTGCCACATTTTGGCTTTATGAACTCTGACAGACTTTTAGCCCTGTTCATTCAACCCTGGCTACACATTAGAATCATCAGGGGACCATTTTTAAAATGTGAATAGTGGAGCCTCAGAACAATTACACAATCACTGGGAGTGAGGCCCAGGCCTCAGTATTTAAAAAACGATGTCCCATGAAATTCTGATGTGCAGCCAGAACTGAGAACCACTGGGTTAATCTCTCTGAGCCTTAGTTTCCTCACCTGTAAAAGGGAGATGATACCTACTTCATAGGGCCGTTGTATCACGTGAATGAATTAATGTGAAACGGCTTTGTAAGCAGTGAAGTGCATTAATTACTATTATGACCTTCTCTCCAAACCCAAAGCGTACCTTGGACCCTCCTGGTCCACTGAGAGCAGTGAGCCCATTCATTCAAACCACTGCCAAATCTCTCACTCTCATTTACCTCATCTCTAGTCTCATTTCCATCACTGACTAACCACCTCATCTTTGCTAGGATCCCTTATCTCTAGCTCTTTCTCTCCGCAAGATTCATATACAGCTAAGATAATCCAAATGACTGTCCTGTACCACCCCTACAGCCTTTCTACTGCCCAATAAATGAAGGAATAAATTTGACTAGGAACTTGTCATTACAGCAACTTGTTTCCTTCTCCCATCCATCATCCTTTCATCTCAATCCGCTTCATCCACTCATTTCAGCAAACGCCTTGGAAATCTCACTCATCTACAAGCTGTTTCTCCTTCACCTTCATTGCCTATATCAAAACTATTCCATTTATAATTAGCATTTTCTCCACTGTCAATGTTACAGATCAAAATACTTTCCTCTAAGAAAATTCCACAACTAAACTAGACTCTAGATGTTCTCCTAGCACCCAAATGACATCCACTCTTCTGCATGTATGTCGTATTTAACACACATTAATGAACTCAGCTTAAATGTCTAAAATTTCTGAGGCCTGAACTTATTTTCCTTAGTAATTAGTATGAATCTACTTTTCAACCACCAATTTAACACAACTATAGGCAAAAAGATTTTAATTCCAACCTTTCTTCAAATACTTTTGCTAATTAACAACCCCTATTTCCTCTTGGTCCAGTTATAGAGTTTATTACAACACCAAACTAAAGTAAATATATCTAAGTGTATGAGTTATCCACAGTTCTTATGGAAAATTTCAGCCACTGATGCACTTGAAGAAAATGAAATCTCTTAGCAGCTAACTGACAACTAACTTTTAGTTAAACGCAAAATAAGCTGATATTAACCTGCCATCTCTGACGTCTGCCAGGTAATGAAGACAGAGAGGCTATGCTCTATTCCCACATTCTTCCTCCTAAAATACAACTTACTAGTGGTTTTCTCCCCTATGGCTTGACCTAATTTTCCTTCCCTTTCCCTTATTTCGTGTTCTCCTAAAGCAGTCTGGCATGAGTAGGGATGGCCAGGTCACTGCTGACTCTCTCAACCCTATTAAATCATCTAACATATAAACATCCCTGCTGAAAAAGAATCCAATTAAAATACCAACAATTTTTCCTTTTTTTTCTCTTTTGGCAGTGCGGCACAGCATGCGGGATCTTAGTTTCCCCGACCAGGGATGGAACCCGTGACCCCTGCAGTGGAAGCACGGAGTCCTAACCACTGGACCGCCAGGGAATTCCCTATTTTTCCTATTCTAAAGTAACTTCAAGCCTTACAACTATGCAGAGCTCTTTACATTTTCATATTTGCCATGTACAAATAATTTTACACAGGACATGATCATCTTTTTTTTGTTGTTGTTCCCAGTGATTAAGAATCCGCCTGCCAGACATAGAGAATGGACCTGAGGACACGGGGAGGGGGAAGGGTAAGCTGGGACGAAGTGAGAGAGTGGCACTGACATATATACACTACCGAATATAAAATAGATAGCTAGTGGGAAGCAGCTGCATAGCACAGGGAGATCAGCTCCGTGCTTTGTGACCACCTAGAGG